TTTTTGTAGTTTATTGGCGCGGATAAATCGGACTAAATAAATTTCGCGAGAGGAATTTGCGTCGGATGAAAGTCCAAACGGGAATAAGATTGGTGGAATGTGTAGTTTCAGAATCGAAATTGTTTGTGTAAATAATTTGTCGCTGAGAGACGCAATTAATGCGGCATGTGTGACTCGATACAAACAAGTGTAGTCAACGAACAGAAATTATTAGAAATATACTGTTCCCTTCGTTGAGTTTAAAGCAATCGGGAGACGTTTTGATAGACGAGTGGGACAACGTTTTTAGTGAAAACTATCGAAAAATAGTATAAATATCGTCACAGAAGAATCAGAGCTGTATCAAAGACGAATGGTTGCTCGACGTCTTATTACTTAAACGATACAGTGTGTTTCATAAGGAATTGGAAGATGTTTTAATAGAAGAATGGGACAATAATTATATCAAAAGCAATGGTTATTAATAAAGCAATATATTGTGTTTCATAGGTGTTGAAATTCTCTTATCTACTTCCTACATTACCCTCCAATTTCCACTACTCTCTGTAGATGTAATGTTTCATCAAGATGAATGCCTGAGATCATCGATCAACTGTTTCAATTACTTCAAATGTAAAAGGTTATCACAGTAAGTGGATGACTGGGAAATGAGGCTGCATCGGTCAGAGGAGACTGTCGGTCCACCTTCATCCCTTTGTCCTCCCTTATTCCTCTCTCGTATTCTCCCTCTCCTGTAAAATCAATAGGTGCGTCGGCGTCCAGTACGATGGAATTCTGCCATGTAACGTCGAACGCTTAACTAAAATCGATCAAGCGCGACACGTGCCCAATACATATACACGTAATAAAATAAATCGCGACGATTTTGAAAGGTGAAGGAATATGTCGAATCTCCAAATCACGCGAATCGATCAATTCAATTTCTAATTCCATAATTCTACTTACTAGTCATCCTCTACATACAATCCCATCATTTCTTTTTCTACCATGAGTAATTTCACTTTAATCTACCATTTAACGGAGATAATGAATCTTAACGTAATGATTCGTAATGGAAAGAATATTTCTTTTTTTTTTTTTTTCATAGATCAACGATACACTTTGACAAATATTTATCCAATTATTCGCATTTCCGCTTGACTAAACAATATTTGCTCCGCCGCACCGCGTACTAGCGCCAACGGCAGCAGTTCGTCAAGCGTGAAGCTTGAACGGTGTACGACGACGAGCGGAATGGTTCCTTTGTCTCTTTTGCGAATTAATTCCGAGGACCCAGGACCTTTGTGCCCCGCGGGGGCTCTTACTTCGCGTCGAGCAAACCCAATTTGCCCTTAAACAAGAAGCATCTTCGCATAACTTAGCGTTGCGTGAAATCCAGCGTCAAAGGGAGGGAAACTCCTTCTTTTTAAGCTCCTCGAACTCGCCGGATTTAGACAGCGAGCATCAAAGCCGCCCTCGATCGAGAAAAAGATCAGGTAGGGATCTCGAGTTATCGAAACAATTAATACTTGAATCCTTTATCGCGTAGATCACAGAACGCAAATAGAAGTCATCGAAAATCTCAAGTATGCGAATCGAGCTCTGAAAATCTATTTATTAATTAATTTTGATGGTTATAAAATGAATTGCTAAGAGTTGTTTGCAAAATAAAAATGAGCCACTGATAGAAACAGTTTCTAATCAAATTTTTCACCAGAAAAACTTCAACTAAAACTGATTATTCTAAAATATTTAATTTGTTGAAAAGCGTATTGTGAATTTAATGTTAATAAAAACATATACATATATTACACATTTATATAGTGGAATTTTCCTAAATGCTCTATTTTTTATAGTTAATGAAAACATATGCTTTGATAAATAATCTCTTTTTTTTCTCTTTTCTGGCTTTTTTAAGATATCAAACAAACTCTTTACTTTATTTTACTCTTGATATTTAACCCATACGTATAATAATAGGTGTTGTACAAGTTTCAAAGACATTGTTAACATCCATTACCCTATATTTGCTTTTACATTCTTGTTTCTTGTATTTCTTGTATTTGTATTGAAGGCTTTCAATATTCCATTTGTTTTCATCATTTAAAGTTCTCTCACGGATACAGAATTGGTCTCGCCATCTACCGGTTGAAAGATGGAACTAATTTTGTTTTGTTTGGTGTTTATTGATACAAACAAATACAGACGTAAAATTGTGCTTATAAATGTTTATCGAAAGGAACCTAGGCTTAAAAATGAAATCCATTCATCAAATACAGTGTAAATAATGAAAACAATTGAAAATACAAATGAAAATGGTACGAATCATATTGGTGGCAACATCTAACGTTGAAAGATCGAAACTATTTCACGACAAACTTGGGTGTTTTCCCACCGATGGCTCTGTTCAAAAATATATAATTATATATAAAAATATACCTTTCAATCGCTAGATGGCGACTACCAGTTCTGTATCAGTGAGAGAATGTCAAATAATAAAAACCAAAGGGAATATCGGAAGCCTTCAATAAAGTACAAAAACAAGAATATAAAAACAAATATAAGATGATGAATGTTAAAAATATTTTTTGAAGTACTTATGCAAACATGTACAACATCTATTATTATATATATGTGATGAATATCAATAGGAGAAATGCATTTTATTTTTTTCTTATACAATAGACACATTTCAATAGTAAAATAAAGTAAAGAGTTTGTTTGTCCTTCATCTCATCTCATCCCGTCTCATCTCATTCTTTTTTCCATACAAACTTGTAGTAATATGTAGAAAAAATCGCATTGCGAAGAAAAGGCTTTGTAGTTTTTCTAAAGAAAAATGCTGAAAGTTACATAAAAATTTCGCCTCTAAACGGGAATACCCCGTGGAAAATCCAAAGCGATAGTGGTATATAGTGAGTTAAAACGCCTGCAGGTGTCAGCGAGAAAGAAAATGGCGAGAGGTTCGAGACAATGTTGGTGTCGGTCTGCACGCGGTGTTCGGTTTTAAGAATTTCCTTCTACCGGTTTACGATCAGCGTAATCCCCGTTGTTTAACGAGCACCGATCGTTTATATTTCATGTTCTCCGAGCAAACGTGCCGGCATCGGCAGTTTCGTTGGAGTTTGGTGTGAAAATCGATAAACTCGGGTCAAACGTCGAACCTTGCGCGCAGGTTTCCTTGTCGTCTGTTATTTCTTTCATCGAGGATCTTCGGCGTCAAGATGTCTACGTCCGTGACAGCCAAACTTCAGGATGACATGAATAGTATACCGTTGGCAGACGATGATCCTCAAGGTAAGATAATTCGTATGCACGTTTCTGACCTAATTTCCCTAATTGTGTTATCGCTATATAGTCTCTCGGTTATAACCTACGCGTACATAGTTTCTTAGATCTGTAAAAAATTGAAATTTCGGTCGAGTACTGCTCTTAAATTAACGATAAACTATTTTAATTATTGATAAATCATTGGTAAATTAAATAGAGCGCGCTTTTCTGACTCAGATTTGTTTCGCAATTGTTTATTGGAACGATTGTGTCGCTTCTTTTGTTGATCAACATATAGCACAGTGTTTCGTTATTCTTTCTGTAATTTTGCTCCAGAAATATGGAGAACCTGAATATAATTATAAGCTAATACAATATGCATGCAAATCGGACTTGGAGTGTATCATTGTACATATGTAAATAGTTTTGGTAGCTGTTACCCTGGCTTTTGTTTAAATCACTATTAACCCTTTGAGTGCTATGGATACGTATCGGTTTCGTTATCAGTGCGAAGAGTGCAAGAAAGTGTGATCCCAAGCAAGTATTTGTGTACGTGCAAATGTGTGTATCTATGCATGAAAGTGTTTGTGTGAAAGGAAAGAAGAAGGAATCTTATAATATCAGTTATACATATTTTGAATGTATAGTAATTATTCCCGAAGAAGAAATTTTGGATAACAGCTGTCACATGTCCGACTCGTTGGGTAGAGGACGCAGCATGGATTCCATCCCATCTACTTTCACGAACGGGAGCTGTAGTCCCAACAGTTAGTTCTAGAAAACCTTACATGATAGTATTGAAAAAATGTTTGCAAATACACGAAAGAATATCGTTCCAGGTTTAGATCCGGATATTAGTCCCGACGAGCAGGAAGAGAAGGCAAGGTTGATTGCTCAAGTACTCGAACTCCAGAATACTCTGGATGGTAAGTAAATCTTTAAGATATACAGTCTTACGTATGCTAGGCATCCCATCAAACAGTAATGATTAAATCCTTTAATTATATCTATGGAATAAGATTTTTTTTGCTCTTCAGACTTGTCACAGAGAGTGGACAGTGTGAAAGAGGAGAACCTGAAACTTAGAAGCGAGAATCAAGTACTGAGTCAATACATCGAGAACTTAATGTCGGCATCCAGTGTTTTTCAATCTACCAGCCCCAACGCCAAAAAAAAGTGAACTCATTTCCTTAAACTAGAAAAACAATTTAGAAGAAAAAGGGATCTTGAAATAATGTGATCTTTGGATCCTCCATAAAAAGTATGTACGCATTTATAATTATAACTGTCTTATTTGAGAAAAGAAAGAAGATATTGTAGATATAAGAATTTTTAAGACGTCGTTTAATATACCGTGCTTATTTTCGTGATTTGTGCGTTTCGTCAATCTGTACATACTTTTTACGGAGGAAGACATCATCAAGGGAAGATTTGTTTATTTTCTTTTAGATTTCCATTCGTATCGCGTCGACTTGAAAGCCTGTGGTTCGAATCAGCGCGTTGCAAACTTATCGTTTCTTTTTAATCACCGTATACGCTTTTCGCTTGCAAACAAACGCGCTTACAATTCTTACATATTGCCAAAGAAATCCATGTTGCATTTAAACAGTTCTTACCGAAGAATCTCGAATATTAATGATCTAAAGCCGTTTTACGACATCGATCGATAAGTTGGCCGATACTCGTGAAACGGAGAAGGGATTTATAATCGTATGAAATCAAACGATAGATGTAAGACTCGTAGCGAAATATTATTTTTTTTTTAGCATTTTTTCGAAAGTCTGTTTGTTTCTACTATTTTCAATTTGATTCGTCCAAGATCGATTGCTATCAGTGCATTTGATATTTACAAATAAGGCGCGAGGGTAATGAGTGTTTGTAGTTACCGTATTTAATCAAACACACCGGCGTTTTTTAATTCAAGCTTTCGCTTAAGAGTTCCGATATACTTGTATGCAATGTATGTAGCTGTACAAAAGAGGTAAGAAATAGTTATATATACAATTCTATATGAATGCAAGGTGAACCACGTAACTTGGTCGTCTGGATTATTTCCGATGTTAAATATTCATCGAATAGCAACGTTGCGTAGAAGAAAATACAAGAATTACATAGTAATCTAATTATTAAAGGAAAATGAAATTTTAATTGAACCCCAAATACCGGGAATAATGTGACTCTAAAAAGTATGCGTTTCATCCTGCATATTATATTATATATAATATTATTATGATATACATATATTAAAATATAGATTTACGTTCGTATGTACGGTGCAAGCAGAGTGTAAATTTCAATTGCCGAAAGCTTTGATCGACACTTTGCCTGCGGCGTAATCGATCAACGAATAATATGGTTAAAAGAAAAGGAAATGTACTGCAATTTGAAACTGCAACTCGCGATGGAGTTTCAGTTGAAGGGCACAAGCAGAATGCACAATCCCAAATTATTCCGTTGTTGATTAACACAGTGTTATAATAAACATTATATTCTATTGGAAGGTAACCAAGTTATTTATTCATCATAAAAAATACCATAAAAATTCGTATTTAAATCATTCTCATCCACTTCATGAACCATCGAATCATCGATCTTCGTTGTCGCAAAAAAAAAAAGATTTACGCGATTTCATTTATCAAATTTTCGTTGAATTATTCTATACATATAATAACCGTCGACATTGTCATTGTCGCCGCGACAACATAATATGTAGAATGATTCATTTCCAGTATACGATTGAACACAGAATTCGTAGAAATTAGTCCTGTCGTATTGCTAAAAACTGTATCGCTTTTTGACCCCAGCGAGTCTTTGATCCAGGTTTTGCTCGTCCGTTCTTCTTTATTCCTATCCACCATCCCTGATTGGCGTATTTTCGCGAACGGAAAGCATCGTAAGAACCGACGTTCCATTGCTCCCATTCTGTGTTATCCTTGTTCATATTTGGCTGCAAAAAATATCTACGTCTTAATAAATAATAATAATTTGAAGGGTAGAAAATCACGATCTTACCTCTCCGTACAAACGACCCTTCTTATTGAAAGCCAGGTAAAGACTAGTCTCGATGCTCTGTACTCGAATTACCCCAAACGATACCGGTATAATGTGAAGTAGGGCTAAAAATGGACAGAATACGTGAGAAAATCGCTTTGTTGAAAATACTTCTTGTATCGTTGTTACTATCGTTAGTTTTAGTAATAAGCATTGCTGAGAATTTTAACGATTCTCAGAATAATTACCATGCGCTTCGTTAGTGCCACTCAAACCCCGAACGCGTCCCGAATCTGTGATAGCAAGATGATAGCCAGTTCGACAAAATAATTTGATTACCAGGCAGTTGTATACAGGATTTTCCGCTGGTTTTCTCGGGTCCCATATTACGCAAGGTGGTTGTTTAATTATCTTGCTCGTGATATAACGTGGAGTTCTATAAAATAGAATTCAATATTTGCAGTTAACTGTGGCTAATATTTATTTGTTTATTTAATTACGTAATAATTGGTCTTTTATTTTTGAAATATTCCTTTGTGGAACCACTAGTAAATCTTGCTTATTATGAAAAAATCAATCATCAGGAAATGGCTAAACAAGTATAGTTATAATTATTTCATTTAAGTAGTCATTTTACGTTCTTCTATAACATTTGTTTGATAAACCTACGGTTTGCTTTTTTCCATTTTTTAATGAAAAATTCTCTTTATTTCACTGGTATCGATATGAAATCAAATTTTTCTGTTCGCTTACAACCTTCAGCTTTCTTTCTTTCTTTCTTTCTTTTTTTTTTTTTTTTGGTATTGCAAATATTGCATTTTCATACAACTTTCAATTCTTTCGCAATTTCTCTGATTGAATTCTTGAGCGTGAAGCAGTGGTAATAGAACACTTTCCAAAGGAAACTTTGCTGAATTCATATATTTTTCACGCGATTCAGTTATAATATCAACTAATACGCTGTTCGTTAGATATATTTGTAAACTTGGTATTAATTGTAAGCACAGACACTTTTAAAAACGCAAATGACAATTAAATGCATTTAAAAGAGCGCAAAATAAGTTTTCGTAAATTCACACTGTCACTTTATATCGTTCTGTGTAGAAGTTTCCGCTTTTATTTTCAACGACGGCGATGGTGCATTGTTCGAGGCCAATGAAACAAATATGACAATGACGGGGCTACGTATAATGATAAAACTAACGTCAACTGACACATGGAGGTGTGCTATTTATAACATATCATTACGTTTGGAAAAATGGGCCGATCGAGTTTTCAGGTCAGCAGGCATCGTGAATGAAGCGTGCTTCGTTGTACCGTAGACGTTTTCCAGCCCTGTTAATTTTAAACAGACGCTTCGAGGGGAAGAAAAGGCAATGTCGATAGACTTGATCCAAGAAGCGGAACGTCAACTGATAATAATCAAGCTAATGGCACCAATAATGAGATACGAACACACTACTATACATATAATGCTTCACACATACTCGTGGAAACTGTGCACCCTTCTCGTAACAAAACAAAATACTATCGTCACGTATAACAAGTATTCGTACCTAGTTGCAAGACTTGTGGTTACATTACATCTTGAGAAAAAAGAAAGTCGTTGAATTATAAATCAACGATAAAGTTTCGATTTACTAATATACATTCTATAGTTTGCACGAAATTGTGTGCTTATATTAACTTACTTTACTTGCATTATCATACAGATTTCTATACTTTTTCTTTCTTTCTAGAATAGTACTCTAGTTTCTGAAATATTTGATTCATCATCAAAGAGCAATTTTAAAATTGAAAATACAGAGACAGGAAAATTGTTCCATTTAGAAATCAGCATTAGTAGAATTACGTGTTGTTGACATTGCGCAAAGACGCCCCCGTTAATTACACGTAGAACGTGCAACGATCTATTTGTTGAAACTCGAGCACGGTCATAAACGTCGAACCTAATTTTGTGTTGCACGTCGTGCGTGCGCTTTAATGCAATTCGAGCGGAATTGCAGACTCGACGGTTGCCACGGTTCTCGAATGCCGGTAATAATATAACGCAGACCGATACCTGTTGTACCTAGTGACCCTGCTCTGTAATACACGTATACATATAGAGCAGAAAGTTAATCGAGTCAAGTGATCAATCAGTGCATATCGCATCGCGTATCGGAGGGTAACTTGGCGTTCGTCGTGAATGTTGCGATCAAGGTACGACACGTTGGCGTTGTGTCGTTTCGTTACGGGACTGCAATTGTGATTATGTCATACGCCGATGAAAAATTACATAATACATTTCGATCGTCCACTGAAATTGCTTTAACCTTGCCACAATGACCGCTAAAATAAATCTTAATCTTCTGGTGGTTTAGTATTCGTTATAAACTCTACTTTTCTAGAGAGTCCTCTGAGATACGCGGTGAAATTTGGGACAAGTTGTTCCAAACCAATTATAGTGGATAGTTTCTAATTACTGGCAAATACCCATTCTCATCGAATTTCACTGTGGTGGTCGGGTGTCTTCTGGTTTCTCTTTTTCCTCTGCGATCTCCATTAATCTCCTTCTCGTTCGCCGTTCCTTTCTCCTCAACGATCGATAGATCAGAATCATAGCTGTCGTCGCTGCAACTGTCATCGATGTCGCTGCATTCTTCGTCGCATGTTGGCGCCTCTAAATTTTCGTGAATCCACCGAAGACTCATCCTCTTACTATGGTTCTGTTCCCCTGATACCTGGTCAAACGAAAATTTCTTATAACTGGCTCCAACGAAAATTTCTCCAACTAATCATACAATTAGTGACAAATTTTGAAGCGTAAGAATAAGTTGGAATTGAATACTTTTGTTGTTCGTTTTCTTATTCGCTTCCTTTTGGTTTCCCTTTTACGCCGCATTTTTCTCGTGGAATTTGAAAGTTTCGGAATACAAGTGGAAGATAAGAAATGAAGCGTTAAAAGTAACGGAGAATTGTAAGATCCAAGATTAGCGGTAGTTTCGGTCTGTTAAAACAAACGACTGTCTCGAAGAACTAGCATGAACCATGTGTAGGGTTCATGCACGCAGAGAGAATCATACAATTTTATCAAGAGAGTCAGAATTCGTGGATAATACAATAATGTTATTTCAAAGAGAATATATTGCACATTGCACTTTTTCTCGTGGGATTGTAGAAAAGATTTCTGTGTAGGATAACAAACGAACACGGGAGAGTAACGGTGGTTTCGGTCTGTTAATGTCTAATCCCTGTTTTAGGAAAGCGATCATACAGATTAACGTGTCACTACGATCGTTTTATACGCGTTCAAAATGATTGTTTCATGAGAAATGTAGAAGATGAAGACAATCAAAAATTAGAAATCCTATTTATTAGGTATTAGGTGTTTCGATATATGATTTTGTGCAACTCATCAGTCATAATATCGTAGGATTAGTGTTATGTTTATTAATAATTTCTATTCGATACAAAAATTCTCTCTACTGAAAGAGTTACCAAAGAGAAACCGAAAATGCTAAATAAACAGCACTCCGTGTTTCTTAACGTGTACTTCACCTAGGAATTCCTCTACGTTCAATTAGATGTACAATTCACTTTCTAATTGGGTTGTAGAAAGCTGGACTTTGCCATTTTCTAATGTTAAATAAATTTAAATCTTCCTGTTGTTTACAGTGCAACAGATCTATCAATTGCACGAAATGGAATCATTAAATAAAATGAAATGGTACTAAATAATAATATGGTGTCATATTTTTCAATTTTTCGATTTTATTCTGTTCATGAATAACTTACTACAAATATAGTGTTCAATCTATCTCGTTACTCTTCACCAGAAAAACACGATCTATTTTTGAAAAGTATGTAATCCGTCCTTATCAATATTTAAAAACCAGTAAAAAAAATAGTACACATAAACATGAGTACAACTCTGATTTACGTGTGACTTTGCAGATGCAACCACAAACATTTTCACCCAGGATATTTCTGTTTACAAAGTTTACATAACACAAAGCAAACTTCTCTCTACAAAAAACAGACTATCTTGCCACGAAACTTTAATTGGAGAAATGATCGTCCCAAGATCCTCTTCTTGTACAGTTGAATACTCTACTAAACACAAACGCAATGAAATAAGACTATACTATTCTGACTTACCGAGAATCTTCTGGATACCAAGTTCCCTGGCAAAGTTGGACGCTGATCTTCTGCTGGACGACGCAACAGTGAATAGAATTCCGCCAGAAAGTGAGAAACACGGTAGTAGGAGGACACTGGTTTCGCAACACTTCCCAGCACGTCTATTGAACAGGTCGTGTTCCGTTTCACGGGGTCCACGCGCGCATTGTTCACCAGTACGATTCAGCAACGTCGATGGATGTGCAAATGTGCAGACGCACCTACCTACCTAGGTGCTCCGCGTTTATCAGACGACTGAGCCGGCTCTGTCGGCGTCGAGCTTCGTTGGATAATACTGGATATGACGCCGGGTCTATTGGTAGACGGCGTACTCAGCACTGGCCAGGGTAATTCGTGGTAGACTAAATTAAAAATGGGACACGCGGCGAAACCTGAAGAACGTGAAAGATCTTTTGTCCGGCGCTGTTCGCGCGTGATTCTGCGAGAGTACTCGCCAACGAGCGCGACAACCCATTAACGATACCTACTTCAGCGAATGTTGACGTTTCGGTGGATCGTTGTTCGTCCCGCGCGCAGTTAATTTTGCCGAAACTCGAGTCTTGGCGAAACGAACGACTTTTCGAGCTCGTTAATGTGTATCTGGATCAGCGTTTCCCGACATTCTACTTCCCTACTATGTAGCCAAGTGTTGCGCGGAATATTGCAGTTGAAATTATATTTGGATAAATGAGAGATAATAAAGGGGAATATAAGACAGTTTAAGAAAATAAATGTAAGCTGTTAATAACGAATGAAATTGAAATAGGAATTTAGAAGGATACAAACCTTTAGAAACGAGAAAAATCTGCAGTTTTCTTTTCACCCTCATTGCGAAATTAATAATAAACGATCAGTTGGTTTTTGATGGACGTTTTTCGTTTTTAATAGGTCTCACAATCAGTCGTTCACACGACGTACAAGGATAGTAATTCAATTTTTTGTAATATTGATTTACATTCACAAAACCTAGTACACATAAACAACAATTTAATGTATTTCATCGTCAAGCAAGTACAACTTCTTAAAGCACACGAATTAATATGTGGACAAATGATGCAGCCCTCATAATAACAATCATTATCGAACTATTTTAAACCCTCTTTCGTATTCTTCCCTATAAATATTACATGCGTTATCGACCATCTGCCTGTGACACAGATATTCTTTACGCATGTTTACCTTAACCGTACATTATAAATTAATTGACTCTCACGAGTTCAAAGTAACTATAATAGTGCGTTAACAAACGAACAGAAAGCAATTAATAGGCTCGCATTAATAGACGCGAACGCGTTTACGTAACTTTTCCCATAGATTTATGAAAATCTGAAGAGTAATAGCAAATAGTTTCAAACAAGTTAATTAACGTATGAAATGCAAAACTAATATCCATCATGCCGTATGGGCAAGTAGTATATCTAGTCAACGAGTTACCTTTACAATGTAGCCAAGTCTGGTCACCGGGGGCTCGTTAACCGCTATGGGACATGTCGTGGTTCCTTGACAAGCAACAACTGTTGTGGTTAGATCCTTGTGTGCGCGCACACACACACACGCGCGCGCGCACGCACGCACACACAACGTGTCGAACAACCACTACTTTTCGCTAGGAAACTTCTAACCGGATTATCGACGGCCAGAGTTCAGCCGTATCGTTTCGCGTGGTTAAATGTATTGGAATTCTCTTTACTTTCAGGCGGTTCTTTTTTTTATTGACACATGAGCAGATTTGCAGAAACACGAGAGTCATAGATACTGGCTGGCTATCATGAAATACTAGTTTGTGAACCTTTCTGTAAATTTTTTTTTTTTTTTTTTTTTTTTCTTTTAGTGCATAACGATGACGATGCAAATTGAATCACTTTAGTACCGGAACCAGATACTGTTGGTCCAATGAAAGATTGATGTCGAATTATATCTAACCAGTTTATAGCACCACAATGGTATTTAACTTTTTGGGTAGAGAATGTATGGGTACGAATTTCCATACGTGCATTTTTCTCAATTACGGACGTTCGATATTTACGTGTCATGCTACACACTAATCAAATAGAAACCTTTAAGAAAATTGTAGCTCTGGAGTGACCTTAATGTGCGCGTCAATTCTACGTATGTAAGGCTGGCGTTAACTGATGGTTTAATGTGTTTGGCAATTAAGGGTGAAACGCGTTCGGGAAATGCGTGTTCATCGAGGGGACGGAGCGCATCGGGGTGTTCTATCGAAAAAGTCAGTTCGCTTGTGGTTCGATTACGCTTCAAAGTTGGAGCATGCCAACGCAGGTGTGCGCCTATTAATAGAGACTATCCGAATTAACGATGCCGATAAACTGATTCGATGGTTCGTGTAATTTCGTGGCGTGCGAGACTCCTGGAAGTAAACTGTAGCTTTTACAACAACCAGCGAGCTTTGGGTATCACGTAACACTGGGATCTTTTCGAATAATTGTTGAGTGTTTGATTTTTATAAATAAAATAATTTCAATATTGAACCATTTATTTATGTATGTATGTATGTATGTATGTTTGTATATGTATACACGAGGGTTATCGATCCTTTCCCAAGGATCATTAACATTTACACCTATAACATGTAAATACGTCACCAGTACATTATTTAAATTCTGATTTTAATTACAATATTTTATTAAAGATTCTCGAGTAATTATTTTCCAAGAGTAATACACGAACACTTAAATATTCAGATTATTCGCTGTATACGATCCTTACAGAATATTCCAATGCTCTCAGCTCTAATTGAAAACGAATTGAAATTTCGTTGCAAAATCGAACGGCGCAATAATCTCTCATTTTGTTTATTCTTGCTCGAGGCTAGGAAGAGTGGAACATCAGACATTGTACTTTCGTGCGAGCTGTGTACTCGTATGTACACTCTTCTCGTCGCTAGACGGTCAGTGCTTTGTACGAATGAGTTGAGAGATTGATGGTTTCGTGCAAGTATTGCCTCGAATCAATTGTTTATCCAACAGGTTAATAATTTTATGCTGGGAGACAATCGAGACGGTTCAAGATGCCACGCTCTAGTTCAGGATTCGTATTGTTTCTTCTTAACGGACTGATACACGCGTGTTCTATGCGCGCACGCTCTGTAACGGAGCTGGGAAATCATGAAAAAATATTTCTATTTGATTACCAACGGGAAACACAATGAAATGTATATTAGTGTATAATTAGTGTTTAGGTTTCATCACTTGATCGCGACACTCGTGAGCATCGAAATAGTGTGTTTTATCATTCGATGAGAGATTTTGTCTTGTTGTCGATGTTGAAGATGTATAAAACATGAATATTATGATTTATAGGCTGATATCTTACACTATATCATATTCTCATATTTGACATCTCGTGTCACTGATTCCCTTGTTACGTTTAAAATTATCAATGAAATTTCAGAAATTACTTCAAAATAAATAGAAAATCGACATATCAGCTTGCGATAAAGTATATCACCTTAATTAATCCTGTCAAAATTAAAGGGTTAAGAGGAATCTTTCCAGACCTGTTAAAGTTTAAATATTTTTCACGATCGAAATTCAGCTTCTGAATGTTTGTTCGTCGAATGTTTTTCACGCATCGAAGCTGCTATATACATATCTTACCGTTGAATCATCGAGTGCTCTCCTGTAAAAAAGAAAAGTCCCCGGTATATATTTGCATCTTATTGTCTGCGACGTAATTAAGCACGTAAACCACCGTGTAATTAATTCGTCGATGATTGTTTACATGGCAGGAAATCGAAGCAAGAGTGTAGCGGTCCATGGTCGCTCTAATAAACATTTATTCTCGATAATATAAAATTACATGTTGCAATAACACGAGACCATATCATACAATATTTCACAATAGTAAGTATACGTCAACGACGCGACGACGAGTATCATTGATCGCAAGAGAACTCGCAGGCATTGTCGCATCGCGATGCATCGAGCTTTCGAAAACAAAATAAAGAAACTCACGCTTGAAATCGCATCTCGGTTGTACAATTAATTAATTACTGTGTTACGCAATAGTCATCTAGAATCTAAACGATCTCCGTAGACGGAGAGACGATCGTTCGATTTCATTCGAACGAGTCTACTGATTTGTGAAAGCATTTAGAAAAAAAAAGAGCCCCGAGAAGAGAAGACAGTGGTAGCGGGGACTTGGAGATGGGGAAGGGTTTCTATTATTATAGCGTCACGCATCGGGGATTTCTCATAAATACCACGGGGATAACTATAATACAAAAATATACACTCAACTCTTGCCGATATTACGCTAAATCCTCCCACGACACATATTTTTTCCTCGATAATGGCCGACAACAGATGCCTAGTGATTTGTCGTATCGTTGGGCTCTCTATCTTTACGCTAATTACATAAATACACGTTTATTTACATAGCCTTCTGTACGTTCTACGACATCTTGGTCGTTGAAATGAAATCGGCGTCGTTGTTCGAAATCTCGACACTCCACTTTTGGGTTAAAGTGCACGGAACGAATACCTACGTAAACGGTGACCGCGTGTCTATTCCTTTGAAGAAGAATTCCGTCCGTCAGTGTTTATGTACAGAAAGAAGAAACATCTCGTCGGTATCACGATAGCTAACCGGTAACCGGTGACCGGTAGCTATTGTAAATGGTCAACTATAACTTATAAAATATAGCCGGATGATGCTATATTAAAGTTAGTCAATGTGGTCCAATTATGGTCCGATGTGGTCCGTGGTTTCACACGCAACTGAACTTGACACCTGAAACATCAAGATTCGGATCGTATGAAGACGCGGAAACGAGTGAAATAAATTAATACAGAATGGAATTAATATGGAAGAAGAAAAATTTGTTGGTTGTAACTAGTAAAATTAGTATTAAAGTCATACTATAATCGATGGAGAGTGTGACTGTTCAACTTATGATGTTCAGAGTGACGATGTTTAAACGTGCTATGGGGAGGAACGATTTTTCGCTCAAGATAATTAGGATTTGCTCGACATCAATCTTGGGTATTAATAGGAAAAGTTAAATGCGGTTACCGTCGTCACTGGAGTAGCAGTTATGGCAGTGGAGCTTGTGATTCCGAACGCGTACATCTGTTCCCATTAGTCCGTCGCCGAGTCGCACGTGACACACGCAGCATTTGAAGCATTCCATATGGTAGAACAATCGCAGACTTTCGATGATCATCGCGGCACCTCGACCTAACATCAACAAATGAATGAATTCAAAATCAATAGATAGAAAGTGACTTTGTGCAAGATTGAAGTTCAAGTTTTGCGACTTTACTTTCTCAACGTACCTAATAATAGTGAATATACTATATAAGATTTACTCTCTTTGTCACAATACTTTGTACTCTACTCTACTTTATTTGTCAATTTCTTTACTTTTGTCGTACCCAGTTCATCTCCACAATGCGAGCACTTTTTCTTCCCGCTGACGCTTAGCATCTTCTCTTGATTTTCAGGATTCATCGGCGGTGGTTGTTGTGGTTTTTGTTGTTGTAAAATGTGCTGCGGTGATTGGTGTTGCAACAC